TAAAATATTCAAATATTTAAAACGTTAAAAATCTATCAATATATGTTATAAATAACAATAAATATTATATTAAAAAATCAAAGCATAAACATTATGCTCTAAATGTCTAAAAACTATTGCATAAACATTATGCATAATTAAATTTTATTGAAAATATTAGTTTCCCTAAGGAAACTAATAAGACCTTCTATGTCACAATCCTCCCCTAGTACATTTTTCCGTGTATATGGGGGAGACAAGTACCTTCGTCTTTGGTCTGAGAATGTTGCACATCTTTCCACTATATATGCGACCCTTACTGGCTCTTGGCATTCCTCACAGCGTGCCTCACTTTTAGCCATCATCGGCCCATGAGTCATTCTTGTGTGCCCAATTCAACTTCCACTTGTCGGTTGCGATGGATGCTGGTCTCCCAACTGCCAAGGTTATCTCTAATCTCTCGTAGTTTATTTCTAGCGATATGTCTCTATTGTTCCCTCCATTTAACACGAAGACAACTTCTGATGCTGGGTTTCAAATCAGTGTGTGGGAGAGGAAAACGAGCATCACAAGGCTGAGCGGCAGCTGCCTTGGCCTTCTGATCAGCTCGCTCATTCCCACTGATACTAACATGTGCTGGCACCCAACACAGAGTTATCTTCTTACGTGCTGACATCAATGCAAGCCAATCTTGAACCTCCCTCACCACTGGATGTGATGAGTTTAAGCTCTTGATTGCTCGCAAGGCACTACGAGAGTCACAATATATTGTAATAGAATTGTTCATAAGATCTCTAGTCATCTTGACTGCTGCAAGGATGGCATGTAACTCTGCAGTGAAAATCAAGGCTGATCGAGAAAGACTGCCAGATGCAGTCTTCCTTCTGCTCACTGTTGCAAAACCCACACCATTTTCAGATTTCGAACCATCTGTATATATTGCATATGATCCCTGGTACTTACAAGTGTGTTGAAGAAATATCTCTCTGACTTCTGCTTCGGATCTCTCCCCTTTCCCAATTCCGACCAAATCAAGCTCGACTTGATTAGTCCAAGGGGGGACTTGGGAAGTTCCAACAGCCAGAACCTTTGTGAGATTTAAATTAAGATCTTCCACAAGATTCCTCATTCTCCTACCATAGGATCGGCTATCCTCAAGGGGGTTGAAAACTAATCTGGATGTAGGAGATCCCGGAATCCTTTGTAGTCTCGTGTAGTAAATCAGGTTCATATAGTCCCGGTATAATGAAAGAGGTGGTTCTCCACTCTCAGCATACAGGGACTCCACAGATGAAGACCTGAAAGCCCCTACACAAATTCTCAGGGCTTTATTATAAACCGAGTCCAACATCCGGAGAACAGTGGGAGTTGCAGATGAATAAGCTTCACATCCATAGTCAAGTTTACTACGAATAAGTGCTCGGTAAAGTCGCAGAAGCGTTGTGCGGTCTGCACCCCAAGATAGGTGGGAAAGAACCCGCAAAATACTAAGTGTTTTTGTAGCTTTCACCTTTAACTGTTTAATGTGAGGCACCCATGTAAGCCTTGAGTCAAAAATTAGACCCAAGTACTTTACCTGTTGGACAAAATGTAGTGGATTTGCTCCTAAATAGAGGGAAGGGTGAAACTTTCCTCGTTTGTGGAAATGCATAGCCATAGTCTTGCTTGGAGAAAATTTGAACCCATGGTATGTTGCCCATTGCACAACCTGATTTATTGCAGTCTGCATGTGTCCTTGCACATCCTTTAAGCTTCCTCCTGAGCAGTACAGTGTAAAGTCATCCACATACAGACTACATGAGACAGCACCTGGAACGACCTTTACAATGTCATTTATAGCAATGGCAAACAGGGTCACACTCAAGAAGCTCCCTTGTGGGACTCCTTCCAGCTGATCTTCCAGGTTAGAGAAACTGTTTCCCACCCTCACTCTAAACTTCCTGTTAGCAAGGAAGCTTTGTATGAAGCTTGGCAATGCTCCTCCTAAACCAATGTCATACAGCTTCATGAGTATGCCATGCTTCCAAGTCGCATCATAAGCCTTTTCAAGGTCAAAGAAGACTGCTAACATATGGCGTCGCTGTGTGAAGGAATTCTGTATAGCAGTTTCCATCCTCACAAGTGCATCTGTGGTCGATCTCAGTTTTCTAAACCCATATTGATATGGGGTCAGCACGTTTTCTTTTTCTAGCAGCCATGCCAACCTGAAATTTACCATTTTCTCCATCATCTTGCAGATACAGCTGGTGAGAGAAATTGGTCTATAATTCCCTGGTATGGAAGCATCCTTGCCAGTTTTCCATGACTCGTGAGCTGATCCCAGCAGTGAGAACAGCCTCCTCCTCCGGGACTTTGCTAGGGCCCAAAGATTGGGGATCTCTGGCTTCTGGTATCAGCACTCCAACCTTCATCGCTGGACATGCTATAGTGATACGGGTATTGTGGCCAAATAGATCGACCACATTCTTGCCAGCAATCACTGGAGGATCCTTCAGAATTGCAGGGTTAACCGGAGTGCCGAGTTCTTTGACACTGACCATAGGCTGCTAGTGGCTACCCTATGGGTCCACTTCAAAATTCCTCATCCCTCAGGGGCCACTCTAGGGTGTTTCACTTGGACAGACTGAGAGAGGAGTGTGCCAGAGGGTTCATCACGGCAGTCTGATCGATTCACAGAACTTAAAAACCTGATGGGTCCAGTTGCTCTGTGGGAGTCCTTCAAAGCGAGAAACACTCGAAGCAGTGCAGTCCATTGGCGCCAGCCCGAGGACAAAGCAGGAACAGTTCACCAGGAACTTTGCTGAGGAGGTTATAGGCCATTTCTTGGCAAGTTCCTTGCCTACCAAGCCCCAAGAAAACTTAACTCTAAGCCCTCCTCACAGATGACTAAGGATAAGTCCGATATGCGAAGCTGAGCCTCGCCCCGGCTATGGGGTAGCCTGGCCTGTGCCGACTAATGTCGACTCGCTAACAGTGTGTCAGCAGGTGCTGACCCGGATGAGCTTAGTCCTTACCCACTGTGGTGCCCAGCCACAGCGGTAACCTCCAGGCGACAACTGCAACTTCTCGCGCCTGGGCGGGGCGCGAACCGCCGACCCCTCGGATGAGAGGCTCTGGGCTAGTACCACTGTAATAGCCCAGAGGCTCACAGATGACTGCATTCTGCTCAGTGTTGGGGTTCATGAACATTGGGCTAAATATCTTGAGGAGCTGTACCAGGTAGACAGTCCAGTAGTTAGATTGGAAATGCCGTAGGGTTGTGACAAACAATTATTTAAAATAATTTTATAAGCTTAAGCTTTAAGCTCATAAAATAATCCTTTAAAGCGTATAATTAATCTTTTTCACACAAAATATTATATTTAAGCTTAATTAATTGTAGTGAAATGCGTGAAAATGTTCATGTTATAAACAATAATTAATGGATATTTCGGATCAATATTAAAATGAGGATAATAAATACTATTCGAAACTTGAAAATTGTATTCTAACAAACAAACAAATTGTATTACAACAATAAATTATATTCCAATAAATATAAAAATAATGTTTCTTTAACAAAAGCCTTTGTAACATAGAAAAAAAATAACAAATGAATAGCACAGAGTGTTATGTTTCTATCTATTTAACATTTATATTTAAATACTATTAACAGAACACAATTCAGAATTAAAAATTATTGCATTTGATTATCATTGTCTGTTTCAGATTGTCAAAGAGAAATCTGCGTCTATTGTCTGCTAGCACATTTTTATACGCTGAAAATACTCGTTCGGCATCACATGACACGAGTGGTGCATAACGGAATGCAGATATATCTGAACTAGATAACTGTTTCACGTATTCGCTTTCAGCTTCTTTCAATTTTCCAGATAGAAGAGAAATTATTTCCTTCATGACTAAGAAACCCTTATTCTTTTTCATGACCGCCTGCAACTTTTTATAGTACTGTTGGTCGTACATTTTCTTAAGGTTTGTTTCAACTTGTTCCATAAGATTGATAGCTGTTTTAAGATCTAAGCCCCGAGTCTCAAGCTTCTCAATCGTCGATGGAATAATAGAAAAGTTGGATGAAATGAAAGATAGGCTATACTTCAATTCAACATTGTTTACCAGCTCCTGAGACTCGGCAATGCACTGAGCATCATTCGCATTAAATGAAAGCACAACCTCGCTAACCTTTTCTAAATGAGTTGAATGATACACAGCCGCTTGTAACCATGTCCCCCACCTTGTTATTACAGGTAAGGGAGGTAAAGGAACTTCAGGGTACGAATCTCTAAATTTCTGAACTCTTAGGGGTGCTTTAACGAACACTGTTTTAGCTGCACTAATGAGCCGATTGACCTCTGAGTAATTGTACCGAATAATTTCAGCAACCCTGTGTAATCCATGAGCTATGCATGTAATGTGGATCATCTTTGGGTATAATACATTTAATCCTCGCATTGCTTTCAACATATACGGAGCAGCGTCAGTCGTCACAACTAGAATATTATGGTACAAAATTTGGTCAGGCCAAAGTTGTAAGAGAGATTCATTGAAGAACGCTGCTATAGTTGAATGATTCACAGCGTCCAGCAAAGCCATATTTCCGAGATAGCATTTATCTCGTTCATCCTCTTCTCCAAGAATTCCAAGCACAAAACAAGCGACAAATCGCTGCTCCACATCAGTAGTCTCATCTATAGACACCCATAATTTCTTGCCAGCGACTTTTTTCCTAAGTTTACTTATCTTACTCTTGTACACATTTTGTACATAATATTTTCTAAGAGTACTTTGATCAGGCATATCTTTTCCAGAAATTTCCTCCAAAAAATTCCGAAATTCAACTGAGCTGAGTTTATTTAGAGGGATGTCAGCAGACAACAGCGCACGACAAAGTTTCTCATTGAACTGTTTTTGCGGTGAAGTTCCCATCTCCTGTTCAATTCCAATATCCTCCCTATCACCATCATTCATATTGGGGATTTCCTCATTAATACTTTGCACGTTTTTCCGGTGTTTCTTGGTTTTGGAATCAGACTTTTTCAACCTGTCCATCTGAAAAAAAGGGATTTCATGATGTAGCTCACATAATTCAGACTAGTAAAACTTGCAACAATGACTACTGACGAAAACAATATTTTCCAACCACGGTTTCATTACTTGATAAGACTCAATTTTATGTGGAAAACGAATATTTCAACATTTTATATTAATATATTCAGATGAATAGCAGTTCATTCTAATATAACAAAGTAATAACGTCGCATTCAGTGAGTGTTATACCGTCATTGAGTGTCCGATTCTGTCTTGCCTCTGAAAATTAGATTAAGAAAACACTTGACGTATATACCATTTTCTCACCTTCACATGACAAAACTTGCACTGTATCACTCCATCAACATCCTCAAAGTCTTTGAACTCATCGAGTAATTTTCTTTTGAGCTTGTGTGCCTGAATTTTTGGCATCTTTGCAAGCTGAAATGTGGAGAAAGTAGTAAAGTTTATAATTTAGAAGTAAATATTACAACTATGGAACTATGAAAATGCTACTAACTTACTTTTAAGTAACCGACGGAAATACTTCAGAATCTACTATCTAGTAACTGATATGCCAATTATATCGATTGCAAGGAATTGTAGAGGTGAAAGAGCGATGTGATTATGGAAGAAAGTAGTTGTGGTTTCATTCACTTTAGTTCACTACACATTATGCAGAATGATAGATGAATAAAATTACAATAATAATTATACATTACAGACCAATAAAATATTTCCAATATTATAGACAAAAAAGTAATTGTATGAATGAAATCTGCAATTGTTAAAGCACAATCAATCAATAGATATTTTTTCCAATAAATAAATTTTAACATTATAGTGAAGTCAAATAAACAGGACATTAGAATATTATAATCCATTTTTCATCCATAAAATTATACCAAAACTTAACAGACACTTACCTGTTGATCTTACAGTTCTGTCGTGACTACTGTTCACTTACAGGGCTGTAGGGTCAACACATCACCTCGTTTTCTCCTCTTCTAAAAAAAATATTTTTTATTCTTCTCTTTTTTTATCTCTCAGATTGGAAAATAATTCGTTATTAATTGTTTGTGCATTAACAATTTTAAATTTCATTCAAACAATTACCTTTTTCTCTATAATATTGGAAATATTTTATATAAATAAATTGTAACTCTGAAAACAAAATTAGAACATTAAAGATGCACAGAGTGAAGATTATTTAAAAGGATTATTCTTGGATTAAGCTTTTAATAATAAGCTTATTTTTCTAAGCTTTTATGTTAAAAAGCTTAACAATTATATTTTTAAGCTTATAAGCTAATGTCACAACCCTAGGTATCACACTACCTGTGCCGGATCCACCCATCAGCAGGGAACCTCCCACCCTAATTGAGGTTAGGATGGCGATTTCTAAGCTGAAGAGTGAATGATATCCTTGTTGAACTGCTAAAGGCTGGTGGTGAGCCTAAGGCACTGGGCTTGCATTCAGTCTTGACTGCCATCTGGCAGTCTGGTTCCATTCCCCCTGTTGAGAGGCATTGTCATCCCTCTATGGAAGGGGAAGGGTGATCATTGGGACTGTAGCAACTACCATGGCATTACACTGCTCAGTATACAGGCTTTGTTTTCACTCACATTCTTCTGAAACAGATCTGTGACCACCTACTAAGGCAACAGAGACTGGAGCAGTCTGGATTCACTCCTGGTAAGTCCACAAGAAACTGGATCCTAGTGCTTTGAGTAATTGTGGAACGCCATTTTGAGTTAATTTGTGGGTTGCTTACATCCTATATCGACCCCAAGGTGTTTGACTCGGAGCATTGAGAATCGCTCTGGGAGATTCTGAGACTTAGGGGAATTCAGATACAGATTACTGGCCTAATAGCAAGCCTATATACCTTTTAATTCAGGGGTGAGACAAGGCTGTTTCCTTGCACCAACACTTTTCAACACCTGCCTGGACTGGATAGTGAGCAGAGCTACTATCCAAAGTCAGTGTGTAGCAACACTGGGCAACATCTTGGTCACAGACCTTGACTTTCCCGAAAATGTTGCTATCCTATCTGGAATCACTTATGGCAGCTCTTAATGAGGTGAAACCCTTGGGCCTAGAGTTCTCCTGGACCAAAACCAAGATTCAGGACTTTGTGAACCTGCCAGGGAAACCTATCGATCCATGCTTGCAGTGAGGATGTTGAAGCCACAGAGAGCTTTACATAGCTTGGTAGTGTTGTCCATGTTTTTGGGCTGTCAGACCAAGAATTCAGTAGACGGATTGATCTGGCAGCTGGAGCCATGAACTCAATCAACAAGATCATTTAGAGATGTCATTACATATGCAGAAGGACCAAGTGTCTTCAAGGCTTTGATACTGCCAGTTTTGATGTATGGAAGTGAAAGATGGAAGCTATCTGGTGCCTTGGAGTCTCTTCTAGATGTCTTTTGTAACAAGTCACTTCGCCAGATCATGGGGTACAGTTGACAGGACCGCTTGTCCAACCGACG